AACGTTCCTACAAAGAAATAGTGCATTTTCATTTTCATTTCCACAGGAATAGACACAATGACTATCCAAGCTGGTACCCAACATAAATTACTGCAAATAATATCTTTCAAGGTGGCATGACAAAATAACTACTAATGGTGCTACAGGAAGATTATTTTCAGATTTGTCAAATGCAAGATTGTTAATGGTTAATCTGGGGTTAAATAAATGACTTCTGGTTTCTAGATGTTAAAAGGAACTACTTGTTACATATTTGGTGCACTTGGATCAGTCATGATGTTTGTGTTAGTACACACAGGACATTTATTACATCACCATTTCACATTACTGTGTAAGGAGGCAAGAAATTTTTGAAAGTGCATGGGTAGCTACAACTATGTACCAACAGTCTACATTCAAAACATGAAATGTGCAGGAGGAACTAGCGTAATTCGTGTTAAATTATGCCTTGTAAGAAGTTTTCACAAGGGTGTGGAGCCAAGAATCCAAGCATGTTCATTTAACTCATTTAAATACTAGTACTTCTTTTGGACTAGTCCTAGGCCAAAAGCTTGAAAAGTCCCTATCTGTTAGGAACTCTCAGCAACAGTAAAAGTGTAATCCAGTAATTAGTATAACACCTCCCACCCTCCACACATATGTAGAGGTGAGGGTGAGTATGGGTTTAGCAGTATTCCACATGGTCAAATGGACGGTGACAAGCACTGATGTTCAACATGGTCAATATATGCTACATGGGTGATAAGGCCGGGTGTATCATATTACCAGATTTTGTTGCTATCTTAACTTTTGTCCTAGGAGTAGGACTACTTAACTGATATTTGCAATTTTTTCACCATCCTTGCACTCTCAAAAGATTAAAATGTGATGAATCTGTGAATCATATAGCATGTATTGAAAAGACCTATGTCTCTGCAATGACTAACTGCCATAGAAGATAATGATAATGTACCTCCCGATACTTCTTCTGTTTTTACTTTCCTCTTGGGAAGGGTGATACTATCCGATTCGGATTAAACTCTCTCCGACTCCATCTTGAAAATAAGAAAGCATACATCTTGTAATTTGAAAGATATAATACAATAATACATTGCAAACGGGTAAGACTTCCGCCAGGTACACCCCCCCCCCCCCAATATTTTCATCATGTCCAAAAAATATATACATATCCGGGTATTATTATTGGTCTAGAAGCCATAAAAAGAGTTGTTAAAAGTCACGAGCATGCACACTTTCAAATTACCGGGATACGAACTCGCCTTACCCAGTCGTCGGCCATTTAACTGAAAATAGCGGCTGTGACGTCATAACTAAAAAACTAGTAGTATCAAAACTCATAATACGCAATTAACAACATTGGATTTCTGATGAAACGAAGTAAACCAAGTGGTACGTACCTACAATGGATATAGTCGGGCAATCGATTGTATGAGATGTTCAAACGGTGGATTATTTCCAACGACACAAGTGCGCCAGGTGTATTCAGACAGGTGGAGGCCGAAGTTACGTCTAGTTACATAGTGTATGCAAAATATGTTATATTTTTAACATCAATATATGAATCACCACAGGTCATTCAAATATAAGGGCAATATTAATAATAATCATAAATATTTACCAACAAAATTTGAAGAATGGTTCACAATGAAATGTTCGAATCCCAAATCTTTGATGCCTCTGTACGCGGCCCACTGATCTGAAATTATGGTTGTACCGGGTAGGACATGATGCTGTATGATGGGTAGCAGTGTACTGGAGTCTCGGTTTTTAACTGGCACAAGGAAAAAAATGCGTCTTTCTCGGAATATACCACCGAACACCCAAGTTCCGTCTACTAGACGGCCCCGATTGTATTTTGGGCAAAATTTCGCCTAAGCAATTTCCACAGTTGTGCCCGGGCCCCCTATTTGGGTACATCCACCAAGTTCGATATCTTCGACACAAGCCTCACGGGTGTAGTTAAAGTAATCTGAGATTCTGTTGATGTTATGTCACCACAACCATCTACCTCATGGGGAATGGAGGTCTCTCTTGCAGTGTGTTCATAGGATAATTTTTGGGCAAAGCAATAAAGCAGAAGGAGTGATTTCCTCAAGGAAATGTTGCTTCCTTCAAACCAGGTGCCCAATTCTGAGGTGAACAGTGTTTTTTTTTATTAGACTTCGTGGCCTGATGGAAAAAAAATCTCATATATTTAGTCAATATATGTGTATTTCGACCTTAAACGTCGGCCTGTCCGTGGCCCAAATCGTCCGCATCTAGCGGCGGATGCGGTCGTTACACATGTCATCGTATCCCAATTCTGTAGATCGATGCTCATGCTGTTGATCACTGGCTTGTCTGGTCCAGGCTAAATTATTTACAGACCGCCGCCATATAGCTGGAATATTGCTGAGTGCGGCGTAAAACTAATCTGACACTCACCGATCAGAAATATTCCAGATCAAGTCAGCGAGCATCACCACCCGACACCGGTTGTCACCTCCTACAACAAGCATGGGTTGTTGATGACCAATTCTTGCTCGGTAACCGATTTGCTAAAAAAAATATATCTCAAACCAAAATCCATCCTGCAAACTGTTGTTCCTAAAGCGTGGAAAGACAATGACATTCAGGTTCAAGATGACGTATGGCTTCAGCAGTTGCTTTAGATAGCGGCGTACCGAGAAACGTTCAGGAGGAACCGACATGTGTCCCAAGAGATGCCGGAAGCGAAAATGAACAATCCATTTGTTACCTTGGCCTCTAGACAATTAAAGGTTAATGAGTCCGAATTGAATTTCCAAATGGACGTGCTGTAAAGATAATTTAATGACACTTACCTCGTCCATATCTCTTGGTGATTTATGAGATAACTGAACATCCCAGACCCACTTGCGACAAATAGAATTTGGTGACACACCATCATCTCTTCCTCCCCATCTTCTTCCCCCTGGAGGATCAGCTGTAGGTTCTGGAAGTGGAAGTGTCGAGTTGTGTTCAAATGATGCGGACAATGGACAAAATGAAGGTGATCATTCAATAAACATTTGGAATGTCTTTAAGTAACATGTTGGGCTATATAGTAATCACCTACGCAGTTATCACTATCTTGTTGAGAGAGGGGCGATGGGGGTAGTGTAGAAGTTTAAGCGTTCACTCGTCAAGCCAAAGATCCGTGTTCGATTCCCCACATGGGAACAATGTGTTAAGATCATTTCAGGTTTCATGGAAAAATGCTAAAAGCGGCGTAAAACCAGAAACTCGTTCACTCACTCCTTGATGAGAGTACCAACATGTGTACCGACACGTTTCGTTGAAAGAGTCCATTAGTAAAACAATTATGTGTCAATTCCTTTTACGTTATTGAGTACAGACCCGTGAAGATCCGGGTTAGAATTGATCTTCAGTAACCCATGCCTGTCGTAAGTGGCGACTAACGGGATCGGGTGGTCAGAATCGCTGACTCGTATGCCAACCGCGTAGATCGATGCTTATGCTGTTGATCAATGGATTGTCTGGTCCAGACTCGATTATTTACAGACCGCCGCCATATAGCTGGAATATTGCTGAGTGCGGCGTAAATCAAGCGCCCCATAAACTCTACTCATTAAGAACAAGGAGAATCATATGCATAAACGCGCCCAAGTGTGTTAATAGTAATAGTGAGTGAGGTGAGTTTCAACGCCTGTTTAAACACATTATTCAAGCTATATCAAGGCGTGTCAGCTTAATGTTTGAGGAAACCCAAAGTGATGAAGGTCCTGGACACAAGAGTAGGGTTATGGGGCTGAATCCTAGAATCCAAAATCTGGGCCTAACCGGTATACGTTTCCGGGAGGGGCGGTGGGGTAGCGTAGTGGTTTAAGCGTTCGCTCGTCACGCCGAAGACCAGGGTTCGATTCCCACATGGGTACAATGTGTGAAGCCCATTTCTGGTGTGCCCTGCCGTGATATTGCTGGAATATTGCTAAAAGCGGCGTAAAACTAAATTCACTAATAAGATGTAAAATGAAAGACCAGCCTTATGACGTATGCATACCTCTATGGACGAACGAGAGTCGACCGGGAGAGCAGAAGGATCGTATTTTGATACCCGTTTCTGTTTTTAATAGACCATAACATATTGCTCTTTTGTTACCCTGCATTTTCAAATCCATAGCAACGCGAAGCACGAACCAAAGGTGACCGTGTTGCGTGTTACTTGTAACATACGTTTTCGTGCTTCAAAGTGAAGAACTGCCTATGACTATGGGATTTAATCGGAATTGTAAAGCCACTTTAGTCAGAGACTGATATCAGAACTTGCTATTCCCTACCCTTCACCCCTGGAACGTAAAATGGATCTATGTCGGTCTTTCATAGTTATTTTATACAGTCTTTAGATTGATCTTTGCCGGGATGTGTGCTGAAGAAGGCCCACACAACTGAGCTTTCATGGTTTTATCCGAACCATTACGAATGAAGCGCCCCATAAATGTCGCTCTGACGCTAGTTCGTAAACTTTGTGTTTCCAGAATGTCAAGCGAACTATTGGCAAATAATGCAGGTACAATAAGGAAGTGATTAGGACCGACCATTTGATATTCTACGCGTGCATGCGTGTGTCCACAGGCATGTTCTCTATTCGCCCACATCCCATCTCGCCCACAGTTTTAAAACAACATATTGGTTAGGGATTACATAATGATCAACTTGTGTCATACCTATGACTGAAGAATGGACTCTCCTATTTTGAAGATGTGGGCGAATTGAGATGTGGGCAAATGAAGACAAAAGTAATTTACATTTTGTTTTTATTTCTGTAACAAAGTTTCATAATGTTCAGTTCAACTTGATCAGGTGTCCAGCCGCGTCCAGAAACTGTAGCGGTGATCTTCTGCCAGTTTCCAGTTGCTGCTGCAGTCTGTGCAGGCGGCTGTCCAGGTTCTTGTAGAGTCTGGATCTTGGGCGGACAGCTGCTCCATGCTCAATCTGTCTTCTGGCCACTCTGTTTGTTGTCTCGAGCTTCTTCATTGTGATCACAAACTCGTAAATGTTCGGGTGGTGCTTCTGGAACCAGCTTCTAAATCCAAGGTGGAATCCTCCAAGTGATTGTTTGTTCTTGGCCCAGTGTTTCCATGTTGATTCCAAATGCGAGGTGGGAATCTTGCGTCGTAGTCAACCCATGTAGATGTGATGTAGTCGTTGAACTGGCCGATTCCGTCAACGTCGGGAGACTGGTTCAATACTTCCATCCAGGCATCTTGGATCTGATCCACTGGGAGGAGGGGGAGTGCTGCAGCACGTCGCACGTGGGTGTTGAAGGCACGGTTGTCCTTGTAGGTGTTCACAAGGCCTTTCTCTGAAACCTGCCGCCAAACCGCCTGGGTGAAGTGGAAGTAGCATCCACGGACTTCTGCATCGGGGAAGACTCTCTCAGTGGCTCCAATAGCAGCAGCTTCGTAGTCAGTCTGTACAACGGAGGGAGAAAGTTCAACGCCGACAATAGCAAGCACAGAGTCCTTCAAGTAGTTAAACAATCTAATGTATGTATCACGAGACTTGCTTGGCAGCAGGGAGAAGGCGACTGGGAACATCTGTCCATCCACAAGGCAGTGCACAATGTAGACTTGTTGCCACAGGCTGGGACACACAAAAAATGTTCCGTCCATGTAGATGGTTTCTGCATTGGCGAGGATGTCCAGCATCTCTGCGGTACTGAAGATCAGGATCCTGTCTTCATCTTTGCTGTCTACAACCAGGAACTGTTGTCCGTCTGTTGTCTCAGTCCAGGAACCTTAAAACAAGCAAGTGTGTTAGACGTTGTTTTGATGAATGAATGAATGAATGAAGTACACTGTCAAGAAATCAATTGAGCATTATGCAAATATCAGTAGATAAGTTAATACTTCTTAAAAGGTACCTGTGAGGTCTACATCAGCACGGGTACGTGGGACTGGTGGAAGAACCTTGGCACGCTGACGGTAGAGTCCAGACTTGATACTGTAGAAGGAAGCAACAGTAGCAGCAGCTTCTTCGTCTAGGTTCTGGGTCTCTTCATTGTAGATTTGCTGGACAGGCTTGATCTCTTCTTGAACGCGTTGTCTAAGTCTGGTGAGAAGTCGACTCTCTTCTTCATTCACTAGTGGAGGATGGTTGTGTTCTGATACTGAAGTGATGTGATCCCCAATGGTGCTGCATCTACCCTTGCACTTGTCGATGATACACTTCCAGTGAGTGGCTACCTGTCTGTCAACGTGCAGTCGATACGTGTGGACCTCCGTGTAGAACCTGTTTTCCTCCTCTCTCTGCGACAACGTGAACTCTGCTTTCTGTAGGTTAGCCATTGCGACTGCCCATACTTTGCAAACTACCATACTTATAGGGTTGCAGTGAGTTACTAAATTGAAAGGAGAGAGAAGTTATTTCCGATTAGTAGATACATTAATTAATAATACTCTCTACTTTATTTAGACAAAATTGAAATATACTTTAAATCTTCTCTAAGTTTCCTTCTCCATCCTGTATAACTACCACAACACTGAAACAAGAGCACTTTGTCAAGTAACTCAGAGATGTATGTGATTTTAGACTAATCCCCCCCTTGTCAGGACACCCCATTATGAGAGTAGGGGTGCATTGTCTGACCCTAATTAACCTCTGATGTTTTTGTGGGCCAATTGGGATGTGGGCAATTAGGGATGTGGGCGAATAGAGACTAAGCCTGTCCACATTCTTTTTAAGAACATTTTTCTGCGGTTATACCACTGTTATCAGCTGTTTCTGTCACAAGTGGTTATTGTGATCGAGTATTTTCAAACGTCATATTACTCAAAAGGTTATCGTTATATAATATAGATATGTTATTCCTTACTCTCCTGAGCACTATACAGTTGAACCCCAATGTCTCGAACTCGGTCTCGAACTCATCTCTCGGTCCCTGTCGATTTGGTCGTGTTGGTACTTGGTCATTTCTATGCTGACGGATGTGTCAAACACTCGGATAAGTCGAACTTTCCCCTTGGTGCCGACGAGTTCGACTCAAAGGGGTTTGACTGTATATGTTTTCCGTTATATATAAGTGAGAAATTTACATGTCCATGCAGCAACGTTTACATAATCGAAGGATATTGTTGTGTAGTCTGGCTCCATGACAAAGCCTTTCGCAAAGTCACGGGAATCCGTTTTGTTTCTGGACGTCTTCAGGCTAATATTCAGGAACACAACTGTCGTAACAGCTCAACCTGTCGTTTATACATTATTAAGCTTAGAAGACCTTCAAATGTAGTTATTTTCGTCTTGGAATATTGTAGGAGACAGGATATTGTTTCGGTCACTGCTCCATACCTCGCTATGTTTTCTTTGAAAATAGGAGCCGAAAAATTGATTTAGTTTCACAAGATCGTCCGTGGCGCCGCGGTTATTAGTGCAGCTTTCCACATATACTGGACAAAATAAGTTAGGGATATTGGTATTTTTATGATTGATATTTTATCAGTGTGTCAATGAATAAACAGATCATTATTCATAATTTCACAATTTACATATATCCCTAACTATTTTTGTCCAGTATATGTGGGTTCCCTTAATTATATTTCTATGTCAGCACGATATCATGCCCGTGAATTGTCTGAGACCTGCATTACGTTCCTCCCAAATTGAACTGACACTTAATCATACAACTGAATAAGGTCCAAAGGGGCTCTAACATAAGCCAGCATGTCAACGGAACAATATATATTGTCCGAGGATAGATTTATGCAACTGATTATATTTCACAGTGGTCAATCCAACGTTTTTATGATAAAAAGCTGTGACAATAGATTTGGATCTATTTTTACGTGACACCGTCTAATTGTCATGTCGTGTATAACGAGCGGTATCCACTCAACCAGGTGAATAGAGACAGGCAGTGACGTTAACAATTCCATTTATCTTCCTGGGTATTCAGCTCGTACACCATGGGGCGTTGGGGTAGCATAGTGGTTAAAGCGTTGGCTCCTCACGCCGAAGACCCGGTTTGATTCTCCCAATGGGTGCAATGTGTGAAGCCCATTTCTGGTGTTCCCTGCGGTAATATTGCTGGAATATTGCTAAAAGCGGCGTTAAGCTGAACTCACGCACTCGTACACCTTGAGGGCCGATTATGACAAGCTTCCTTATAGCTACTAGAAACAAATTGCAGTATGGTTGTGATTGGAAACCGGATAGTCAGGTGAACGAATAGAACGAGTAAATGCAGTCCTGTATTGATTCAGCCTAATACCGTCGACATGACCTTTTGGATTGAAATGGGTCGTGTGCCAATTAGGCAATTTATCACAGGGGAACAGAACCCTCACACTAATCTCATTATCAATAGCTTCGGTTTGTTGGTTTTCATTGATGTGACGACAGGTGATTATTCTGACACCCTTTTATGTGCAACACTACAGCGTCAGTTTTTATCGACCGTGTCCTATGTCTTCATAGCACATGTGCGGAAATTGAATTTGATCGGCTTAGTCATGAAGGAACCTGTCTTATCGCAGTTTAAGCCAAGTGGTTTCCATTCCTGCATATTGGTTGATTCGATTGGTTATTGAATCTAGTTTCACACATAGAAGTAGACCACAGGACTACATGTGTTGTGCGTCAATCTCCTTATAGCTTGGATTTTTATGTTCACAGACCTTGAGTGTGGAATGGGAGCCGAAGTGTTTTGATGTGAAGGGCTGATCTCCAGCGAGCAGAGCGTCCAAGGGCTATTTGCATGCTGGGAAATAGCAGAAGTTAGCATGCAGTGGCCAATTTTTCACAATGTTTGTTAGCAGATTAAGGTACAGAACACGTACCAACAAAACCAAGTTAATTAACAACATAATATTAACAAATCCTAAAGAGTGAGTGAGTAAATATTTAACGTCACATCGGCAATATTACAGCCATATCGTGACGAGAACATTTGATATTGAAATGAAATATATGTATATTATAAAAAACCTGCCGACGAAGGACAGTAAAACAACTAGAATATCACAGATACGTATGTAAAACTAGTAATTAAATCTAAAACGTTTTAACTATAGGGGAAAAACAATACAGTATAAAATGGGCTATAAATCGCCAATAACTGAAGGTAGATCACCATACCAGGGACCGTGGACAAATCCTAAAGAAGTTCGTTTATGATAATAATACAACTGGTATCTCTTACAATTTAATAAATTGCTGTTATTTCTGAGAATCTCTTACTTTTATTTGAAGAGTATCTTACGAAAGTTCGATCGATTTCGAACGTCCAATAGGCTTAGTAGTTTCCCATCTTACTTTTTAGCCAAATCTGGTCGCAGCACGCATTTGAATCGTTTCGAGTCAACATGTACTGTATAGTTTAAAGCGCACGTAAAATCTGCTATTTCACCTTTTTGCCAGTCTATGCAATTAAGTGTGTGAGTCGGGTTCAAGCGGTATTTTAGCAATATTCTAGCTATATCAAAGTGGGGACAACAGAAATGGGTTTCACGCGTTGTACCCGTGTGATAGTGCTGCCGGGGCAACATGTAACCCGTCGTTAAATACACATTCACTATACAAAATTAGTTATTACTATTTCGCTTTTTTGAAGAAAAACTCAATAAATGTCAACGAAAACGTAAATGAGTAATTTCGTACTAATCCGTGAATATCCTGGTCTTCAGTAACCCATGTTTGTCGTAAGAGGCGACTAACGGAGTCGGCTGGTCAGGCTCTCTGACTTGGTCGACACATGTCATAATATCCCAATTGCGTAGATTGATTGATGCTCATCCTGTTGATCACTGGAATGTCTGATTATTTACAGACCGCAGCCATGTATGCCTGGTTCACAGTAGGCCTGCGATTGGTCTACGGCGCCAGTGAACATCCCGTAGCTCCATTTCCGTGCGGTCGCCGTGCGGCGGCAGGCGGTGACCGTGCGATTATCGCACGATTCTACGGGCGCCGTAGCCCTTACGATTTTGTCAAACAGCGAAGTCTGACAAATTCGAAAAAATCGCAGGTCACTGCACGGACACCTCACGGTGATCGTGCGGTAAAGGATCTTAGGATCGTGCGGCCTTCGTAAGATCTCCGCACGATTACTGTGCAGCCTACTTGCAGGTTTGCCTCGGCCTGTCCCCAAGGAAATCGCACGATGCACGTAGACAATGTCAACGCAAACGTCGTAGCCCGCAGTCACTCACGATGCCCAAAAATCGTACGGAAAATCGTAGACTACTTTATCGTATCGAGACCGTGACAAATGTCATACTGTAACATAGGAAGTACGAATGCTACGAGAAACGTTACGAGATCTTAGGCTTGCGAGAGCTTTGTGATACGGGGCCCAGGTCAAAGCTGGAGTATTGCTGAATGTGGCGTAAACCTTAGCTCACTCACTCACTCATAACCAGAGTCAAATGTGTCCACTAGCAATATCCTCACAGGCTCACACCTCATCACGACTCATAAACACATGCTTACGATATTGTCAAATAGTACAATGGACCCTGATTCAAGCGGACACGGCATCTGATTATTGAAATTGCTTTGTCGCCTGTATTTATATTCATAATACCAGTAATTGGTCTGTCTGGTCCATAGCCGGTTATTTACAGCTCGTAGTTGGAATATTGCTGAGTGAGGCGTTCAACATTAAACAAATGAATCAAATATTATTGTCTGCCATTGTGGGTGATAGCGTTATCGGTGTGGATAATGGGCGACCTTAGATCGTTAACGTCGGCGAAGTTGCAACTCATGCTGACTAAGTTGCTGATGATCACGATGTGAGGTAATTGCGAGATCCCCAGTCCGGATGTTGAAGTTCCCTTGTTTAACGGTTGAATTCTTTGTTTGATTAATAAAAAACGTTTTCAAAGAAGTACCGTTATCTTCAAACAACAATATTTAACTGATGAAATGATAATGTTATTTTCTCTGGGTAAATCTCATACGCAAATAATATTTTTTAGAATGACGTCATGGGATAATAACATGATGTCACAAGGCAAAGAGGTATCTTTGTTAACATGTTATTGAAGTTTGCAGAAAGGTTCTACTTTTTTCACTAACATAATCTAAACTGAAATTGAAACCAAACAGAATTTTTCATCTATTTCTTTTTAGATAACACGCTTTTTGGAATTGAAGTACTCACCCAGCCAAGGGGATAAGTAGTGCCTGTAGTTGTGGAGATAACTGTTTGAGTTGAACATGCGAATAACTCTCGTTTTCGTAAACAAGAATTGCCGAGAACCATTTGGTGCGTGGAGCGAGCTGTCACGAGTTGATCGTCACAATGCGTGATGCAGGGCCTGTTTAATGTTCCGCGTTGACCTGAACG